AGGCAAAGCTCTAGCTCATTCCTGATCCGTTCATTGTTACAAACAATTGAAAAGCCGAGCTCAAAATAAGTTCATCATAAGTTCATAAGTTCATTCTCAAGTCAGCTTTCTTCTTTTTTTGATGATTTCAGTTTTCGAAAAGCATTTTCAAGCACTTTATACTGATTGATGTTAAAATGGGCATGTGGAAAAGTTGTTGAAAATCGAGTTGAAAATCGAGTTTTTTCTTTTCCTTTTTTTCTCGTTTCAATCTTCCCGTGGACACTTTTCATTTCGGTCATTGATCAGAAAAAAAAGCAGATTTCGAATGGGGGAAAATTGTCAATCACAAAGTGTCACCCACTTTTCGATTGTCCTTCTCTTCTCTTCTCTTCCCAAAATCCAGATTGCGCACCGCGATTACCGCTCTAAATTTGGCTCAAGAAGTGAAATGGAGAGTTGAAAACTGGGTTTATCTAGAAATCAAATAAATAGCAATATCTAGAAATCAAATAGCTAGCAATATCTAGAAATCAAATAACTAGCAATATCTAGAAATCAAATAACTAGCAATATCTAGAAATCAATCTCTATCAATATCTAGAAATCAATCTCTATCAATATCCAGAAATCAATCTCTATCAATACCTAGAAATCAATCTCTATCAATATCTATCAATATCTAGAAATCAAATAAATAGCAATTTTTGAAGCTTATTTCTTCTTAATCTTCTTGTTTTTTAATAAACAAATCACGAAAATCATATGAAATTAGAAAATTTATTGAATTTTTCTTTGAAAAAACTCATTTTGAAAGAAAAACTATCGAATCTAGCTTATTCTAAATCCCTTAAGAGTCTTTTTTTATTAGAATTCAAATTTATTACCTATTCTCTATTAACTACAATTAAAAAAACTAAAGAAACAAATCTTTTTCGGAAATTTTGAGAGATGAGAGATCTTAGACTTCTCAAATAAACAGATTTCTATCTTTCAATGAAATTACCCTAACCTGTAACCAAAGTTTCAACTTGGAATAGAAAAGAGACAAAACAAGACAAGACAAGACAAAACAAGACAAGAAAAGACAAGTCAAGACAAGACAAGACAAGACAAGAAAAGACAAGACAAGACAAGACAAGACAAGACAAGAAAAGACAAGACAAGACAAGACAAAACAAGACAAGAAAAGAAAAGACAAGACAAAGACAAGAAAAGAAAGACAAGACAAGAAAAAAGAAAAGACAAGACAAGACAAGAAAAGACAAAACAAGACAAGAAAAGACAAGACAAGACAAGACAAAACAAGACAAGAAAAGACAAGACAAGACAAGACAAAACAAGACAAGAAAAGACAAAACAAGACAAGACAAAACAAGACAAGAAAAGACAAGACAAGACAAGACAAGAACAAGACAAGACAAGACAAGACAAGAAAAGACAAGAAAAGACAAGAAAAGACAAGTCAAGACAAGACAAGACAAAACAAGACAAGAAAAGACAAGTCAAGACAAGACAAGACAAGACAAAACAAGACAAGACAAGACAAGACAAGACAAGATAAGACAAAGCTTAACAAATCGACAAGCAGCTGATCGAGAACGACAAGCATTTTTAAGCAGCTGATCAAAACATCGCCGTTTACAAACAACGCCGACTAAAATAATGCACTTGCGGCTAAGTTTATTTTTGTTTCTTATTTTTATTGGATAGAGAAAAAAGAATTGGCTATTTCCTGAATTTTTTTTTTGCCTTTTAGAATAAATCTGGGATGAGAAAATGCTTAAAAAAACGAAAAAGGACTCAAAAAGTGGGTAGCTTTTCTCGGCATCAATTCTTTTTTAAGTGCTTCCAAAGTATGCACAAAATGTAGATCTATTTTTATTCTGCATTCAAGAAGAAACATAAGAAACAAGAAACACATAGAAACTTAACGGGGGCTATTTTTTGCTGTACTTTGTTTTTGATTAGCTCTTCATTTTTGATACCGTATTTTCTCTAATAGTAGTGGACCGTAGGCGTCGACTAAATTCCTCGAAATCTCGAGAACCGCTTATCAGAACCTATCGATGTGGGGTCGGGAAATGTCGATGAAAAATCCGAGTATGGCGACCCGAAGAAATCTGATGGACACACGACTTACCCCTAGGCCCCCTCGGCTTCGCATGTGTAAACCCTCTATGCCAGAAAGTGCGCGATTGTGCGTGTGCACAGAGAACGCCGCAAGAACACCGCTTGATCTCTAATAGTAGTGCAGCGTCTCCTAAATTCCTCGAAATCTCGAGAACCGCTTATCAGAACCTATCGATGTGGGGTCGGGAAATGTAGATGACGATGAGATCTAGTGGGAGATTTGAGTGTTGAGCTTCTGGGAAAACTTTGAAACTGTAAAATAGGCATCAACTCGGCTCGGCTGGGTGCACTACTATTAGAGGAAATACGGTATATGACATAAAAGCTTAAAACCTTAAAACCTTAAAGATCTTAAAAGCTTAAAACCTTAAAAAGCTAGCTGTTCGGTAAAGAGATTCAACTTGAAAACCTCTTAAAATCTGTCATTTTGACTCTTTTTATGGAGATTTGCATTTGAAAGTGTCAAAAATTGAAAGAATTTTAATACAAGAAATACAATAAAAATAGAACTAACAATGAATGATTAACAGATCACTTTCGTAGATGTGAAGTGGTGAAAGCGGATTTGTTTGTGTCTTTTCTCAGTGATAATTTCTCAGTGATTTCTCTTTTCTTCAATTATTTGTCTCAAACACACTCATTGCGACAAAAGCAATCGTTTACAAACAAAAAAAAAAAAGAAAAAAAAGAATTCTTGAGTGCGGTAAATAGGGATGATAGTAATATTTATGTAAATATTGGATGGTGTAAATGAATTGTAAGAGATGAGCATTGGATTCTATGCTAAAGTATCACAATTTAAAGAGGGAGCCTTCTCGTTGAGAGCCTCTATAATCTAACATCTATTAGGTTGGGAAAGAAAGTTCTCAAAAAAAAAAGTTTGACTAGAATTTCTTCAAAAACGAATCCACCAATTCTAGTGAGACTATGCTATGAATATGCTAGCTGAAGACTATGCTATGAATAAGCTTTATAATCTGCTATGAATAAGCTTTATAATCTGTTATGAATAAGCTTTATAATCTGTTATAAATACGCTTTATAATCTGTTATGAATAAGCTTTATAATCTGTTATGAATAAGCTTTATAATCTGCTATAAATACGCTTTATAATCTGCTATGAATAAGCTTTATAATCTGTTATAAATACGCTTTATAATCTGCTATGAATACGCTTTATAATCTGTTATGAATACGCTTTATAATCTGCTATAAATACGCTTTATAATCTCTAACCTCTAATGAAGTCAGTTAAAGTGACTGATATCTTATGAGATAAAGGTAGTATAAATAAAAAATAAGCTTTATAATCTCTATTTTTTCCTTTATAAAAAAATTGGGAAAGAATTGGTGGCTTTGATTTTAAAGAAATCATCGTCAAAACTTTTTCTACGAATTTTCTTTCCAATCTAATAGATTAAAGTATTTTAAAAGATCAAAATAAACGTAGAAACAATAAAAACAAACCGGCTGAAGGTCATCGATGTTGCATTTGTTGACGGTGATGTGATTGGTGATACTTCATAATGTCCTGTTGACGAACGAAATCTAAAAATTCAAGATAAATTTCAATCAAAAGAAGTCAAAAGTTTCAACCAAATAGAACGTCACAAAAAGAAAGATACAGAAAGATACAGAAAAAACAATAGCAAAACTATTGTTGTTCAATTGTTCGATCCAAAACTAAACTAATATTAAGGTAAACTATTTACCCTAAAGTCGCGAGTATAAGTTCTGTTTCGTTTTCGCATGCAAATTGACGGCTATTTCCGGTGCGGTGTGTCGAGGGTTCGAACCCCGCTGCAGCATAACTTTTTTTTGCTTTTACAGCTCATTTACAGCTCGTCGTTTTGATCGCCTCTCCAGAAACCATGCCTTCAGATCTTTCTCCACATTTTCGGCCATTTTGCTCTCAATCCTCGGAAAGTTCGATTATTTTTTGGTGAACTCATCAGTGCCGGCTCAGCTTGTTTCCAGCGGTTAATCATCTGTTCGGCGACTTCAAATTCGATCGCAGCCGCGTTCGTTCCAAATTTCCTCGCAAATTTGACCGCTTCGAGCTTCGTTTCGGCGGTGTACGACTTTCTCGGTGTACGATTTTTGGTGGTGTTTTGGCGGTGGCGGTGTACGATTTTTTGGTGAACTCATCAGTGCCGGCTCAGCTTGTTTCCAGCGGTTAATCATCTGTTCGGTGACTTCAAATTCGATCGCAGCCGCGTTCGTTCCAAATTTCCTGGCAAATTTGACCGCTTCGAGCTTCGTTTTGGCGGTGTACGACTTTCTCCTCATTGTATCTAAAATGAAAAAGCGTTAGTAAAATAAAAAAAAACAATAAAAATGAAAGAAAGAAGAAAATTTTCCATCAGAGCCTTTTAAATGTAAATTAAGGCAGATACTCGAGAGTATAAGTATACTCGAGACTTTAGGGTACTCAACTTTTCTCTATATATTTACGTTAACAATCAAATTCTAGCTTGATCAGTTCAATTCTGACAATCAAATGCTTTTCCTTCTCGTAAACGCATCTCAAATCTCTCAAATTTCTCAAATCTCAAGCGATTATTGTTGGTTTAGATATAATCTTTATTACAGCGATCATAGTTGGTTCAGTGGTTTGAGATTGGGAGAGTAGAGACACTTCACACTCCATTTTGAGAGTAGAGACACTCCACGGCACACGTCGGCAGCTCGTTCACATTGCTTTTATACGGAACGTCAGGCGTTGCTCTCCTCTTGCACACAATGGAGTTAAACGGACAAACAGTTTCCCAGTTCCCCGAAATCGGGTTGCCAAGCACTCGGCAATCTAGACAAATCGAGAGATCTGCAGAAAATGAATCGAGAGATCTGCATTTCGAAAATTAAACTTACTAAACCTTTAGCCAAAATGGTGAGTTCAGATTTGGGGGTTAAGGCCGGAGAATTTGCTAGATATGGATTCTAGATATGGATTCTAGATATGGATGCCGGCTGCGGTGTTGGCTGTACGCTATCCGGCTGATCAGTCGAAATCCCTGGGATTTGTGGCGTTCGGTTTCTTTTTCTACTCAATTTTTATTTTTAAAAAAGCCATCTACAATCATTGCTTATTATGCAATTATGCTTATTCTTCGATTTTCAGCTTTCATGCTCATCGTGATGAGCATCAACACGGTGCACGTGCTCTCGAACGGGACGCGTATCGTGGAACCGACTGAACAGTCAGTTTTAGATTAGTTTTAGATTAATTCTAGATTAATTCTAGATTAATTCTAGATTAATTCTAGATTAATTCTAGATTAATTCTACATTAATTCTACATTAATTCTAGATTAATTCTAGATTAATTCTAGATTAATTCTAGATTAATTCTAGATTAATTCTAGATTTTAGAATACAATTTAACTATAGAAAATAGTCGATTAATGCATAAATCTTGATCTTTTTTGAGAAGGCTTTTTAGAAATCAATCATTAATTGATCTACAATTTCTTTTATTAGCTTATTTTGCTTTATTTGCTTTTCTTCTGTTGCTTATTTAAAAGAAACGCTATATTAGCAAAATTTTCTGTTTTTCTAATTTCTTTATAAAGCTTTTTAAAGAATTTTATAACAAAAACAAGTTTTTACATCCGAGTTTACTTAGAAATTAACCCAAAATTGACTTTAAAAGTTCGAAAAATAAATAAGAAACGTTTGCTATTTGAAGAAAATCATAGATGAATCAATTTAGAAGCTTTAGCAATCAGCTTTAGCAATCAGCTTTAGCATTAGCCTTAGCATTAGCTTTAGCAATCAGCTTTAGCAATCAGCTTTAGCATTAGCCTTAGCATTAGCTTTAGCAATCAGCTTTAGCAACCATCTTTAGCAATCAGCTTTAGCAATCAGCTTTATCATTTCTAAACAAATAGAAAAATAGAGATCAACACATCATAGAATATATTTGAAGATTTCTTTTAGACAACCTCTAGACACTTTCGATGAGGGAACTTTTGCTTTTGATGCTTTTGATGAGTTTGGAAATGCGATCGTGCCACTCAGCAATGATGAGAATCACGCAAATGAAAGCATTGGTCAGAAAAAGCTTTGGGATTTTAAAAAGGATTAGTGACCTTGAGGATTAATGTTGCATCAGAGAAAAAGGAGTACGGGGAAGCTCTTTTTAAGGCCGAAACCCTTCCTGGATTGCGACTAATGAACCGCACGAGAGTAAAGCGCTTGAAAAGAATGTAAGGATAAAGATTACCGGAGTTTGTAGATAAATTCGAGATAGATAAATAGATAAATTTAGGAACGAATTACGGGAACTTTGGCGCTTATATAGTTAGATTAAAGGCATCTTTTAGACTCTTAAACTAACTATAGGGTTATGTTTCGAATCAGGAGCTGATTGGGGAGACATATAGCAGATAGGAAATTTATAAAATAGCAGATTGAAAGCCTGGGATTATACCGTATTTCTACTACTGCTAATAGTAGTGCGCACTACTATTTTTCACAACCCTCCTCCAGCCTACACTACGCACTACTATTCTTCAACCCCCCTCCAGCCTACACTACTACACACTACTATTCTTTAACCCCCTCCAGCCTACACTACTACGCACTACTATTCTTTAACCCTCCTTCAGCCTTCACTATTACGCACTACTATTCTTCAACCCTCCTCCAGCCTTCACTACTACACACTACTATTCTTCAACCCTCCTTCAGCCTACACTACTACACACTACTATTCTTTAACCCCCCTCCAGCCTACACTACTACGCACTACTATTCTTCAACCCTCCTTCAGCCTTCACTATTACGCACTACTATTCTTCAACCCCCCTCCAGCACTACTATTACAGAAAATACAATAGTAGTTTACCACTAAAACTTATCTTTTTAAGAAATCGAGATCTTGAAGAAGAAAAGTTTAAAAAGAAAAGTTTAAAAAGAAAACTAAAAAGAAAACTACCGTAAATACTGTAATAGTACCCCACCCCCATAATGACGGTGCGGAGTGTTGCGTAGGTGCTTTGAACGAGTTTTTCTCGACACTGGTTTATGCTACAATGCGCGCTTAGGTATCAAAAAATAGCTGAAATTCAGGGCTATTTTTTGATACCAAAGACACATTTTTTGAAAGTACGGGTGCTTTGCAAAAAAATGAAATACTAAAAAGCTTTTGCGACTACGCGACTGTACGGGGGAGGGATGGGGTACTATTACAGTATTTACGGTAAGAAGAAAAGAAATCATTAATCAAAAGAAACTGTTTTTCTAAAATGCATCCATTTTGAAAATGATCATAAACTTAAGGTCTTTTTTTTATTCGTTTCTCTATTTGTTTATTAGTTGATATGAGATGAGAAAATCGTATTGAATATCGAATAAATTTGGGAAAATTTTAGACTCTTCCAACATCGACGCTGCTGCTGCTGCTAATAAACAAAATTCTAAAAGAAAATAAACATTTGAATGTGTTTGTGAGAAAATTGTTAGCCAATTACATTGAAGAGCTTCATTCTTTTTCTTTCTCTCTCTCTCTCTCTTGCGCTGTAAAAGTTTCAGCTATTTTCTAGACAATCAAGGAATCTACCCATCAATTTTCAAGGAATCTATCCATTCTAGGAATCTATCCATTCTAGGAATCTATCCATTCTAGGAATCTATCCATTTCACTCAAATAACCCAATTTTCACTTAACATTATGAGCCTTGTTGAATTGCGCTAATCGAATGAAAACTCATTGCTTACGGATTCTCTTTTGATTTGACTGTTCAATACACTCAATGCCAATATTGCTGATATTGCCAATATTGCTGATATTGCCAATATTGCGAATTCCGTTGCAGAACCCAGAACAAGGTTTGAGCTTGAATTTCTTGAATTTTTAATTAATAAAGTTGGATTTGGGTGAGCGATTAAGAAGTTACAATTATGTTTGGGTGAACAACAAACGAATGAATCGTTTCTAGAAAGGATTGATGGCAATGAGGCTACAGGATCGACAAGTTCGAGTGAGAATGAATCGGATGAAGACGAAGAAGAGGATGATACGAATTCGAATGAAGGTAACGTCAAAAAAGCGCATTCATTATCAACAGTTAACGGAAATCCCCATATTTAGGCGATGCACACGTTGAAGAGGGACAACGTTGAAGATTTGGGTGAGCGATTAATAAGTTACAAATATGTTTGGGTGAACAACAAACGAATCAATGCTTGCAAGGCACAATGATCTCAGAAAGCTCAGAACAATGATCTCAGAAAGCTCAGAACAATGATCTCAGAAAGCTCAGAACAATGATCTCAGAAAGCTCAGAACAATGATCTCAGAAAGCTCAGAATAATGATCTCAGAAAGCTCAGAACTGTCTCGAAAGCTCAGAACAATGATCTCAGAAAGCTCAGAACAATGATCTCAGAAAGCTCAGAACAATGATCTCAGGAAGCTCAGAATAATGATCTCAGAAAGCATTTCAGGGATCACCCAAATCTGTGGACATTCATTAAAAGACTTGGAGGATTTCAACAAAAGATTGACAACAAGATCGTTGAAGACAAGCAAAATGGCATTAAGAAGACACGATTAGAAAGAAAATCGATGCAAAAGTTTGTGCGAAAGTTGGGATGAATTTGTTCATAGTCTAGAATATTTGATTAAGACTGCAAAAACTTTTTAAAAGTTTGCATTTGTTAATTAGGTTGCCGTATTTCTAATAGTAGTGCATTCCGATCGTCGTCTAAATTCCTCGAAATCTTGAGAAGCGCTTATCCGAACCTATCGATGTGGGGTCGAAAAATGTAGATGACGATGAGATCTAGTGGGGGATTTGAGTGTTGAGCTTTTGGGAAAACTTTGAAACCGTAAAATAGGCATCAACTCGGCTCGGTGCTCTGCACTACTATTAGAGAAAATACAGTCATTGTTGTTAAAGTTTCTTTTTTTTTTGATCGATTTATACTTTTTTATGATGGCTATTAAGATTTTTATTAAAACATTGATAAACTTTTCAACTCAATTTGCAATTGTGCATCAGTGTTGATCGTATTGAAAGACCAACATTGACATTGAGAGTGTATTGGACAGTCAAATCAAACGTTGATAGTCAAAAGAAAATTTTCGGCGAAATGGGGAAAACCCTTGCTTACGATAGTTTATTTGTCTTGATTCAATAACGAATTAAATCTATATGTCGCAGCCGCTCGTGATTTTCAGCCGCTAGTGATTGAATCACCATCGGCTAGTCGATGGTGTGTCAGCTCCGAGCCAAACTGATATTTTAGTTACTATTGTTATTATTGAATGATTTGTCTATTCTTATGCAAATGTGTCCTCCCCTGTGCTTATCCCTTTTATTGCCGAGAAGGGGCGGTCCTTGGGATTGCCTAGGAGGACAGCGAGGAGCCTAGAAGGACAGTGAGGAGCCTAGAAGGACAGTGAGGAGCCTAGAAGGACAGTGAGGAGCCTAGGAGGACAGTGAAGAGCCTAGGAGGACAGTGAAGAGCCTAGAAGGACAGTGAGGAGCCTAGGAGGACAGTGAGGAGCCTAGAAGGACAGTGAGGAGCCTAGGAGGACAAGTGAGACTCTGATTTGGAGTCCCCCCCTTCCCCTTACACTTATTTGTAATCTATTCGTCTTATTATACTACTGTAAACAAAGATACATATCTTCCGGGTCTATGCAACTGCAGTACAGGTCGGTCATTTCACAGGGACTCCTCTCTAATACGTTGGAGGAGTTGAGTTGGGTTGTCGGGGTGTTAGAGATGGCGGGATATCAAAAGGGATCCACTCTCTTTAACTTAACCCAAATTCTAGTCCACATCCGTTTATACCTAGGAACGAATAGGTGATTCAAAGCTTTTTAACGAAACATTTGACCGATGGTGATTGAATCACTAGCGGTTGAAAATCACTAGCGGCTGCGACATCTATATATATATGTCGTAGCCGCTTACGAAATTCAGCCGCTAACGAATGAGGGTATTTCCGGGCATCCAATCAAAAAGTCACCCATAAAAAATGTTCATAATACATATATTTTATAATAAATTTTTGAAATTAGCTCATTTGGTTCAGTAGAAAATTTTTTTTGAACCCCCAAAGTTTAGGTTCAAAAATGCCCTGAAATGGCTATAAAAAATTTTCTACTCAGCCAAAAAACTTGCCTAATAGCTTATTTTGTAGCCAATTTGATGTATTTTCTTAAAGTAAAGCTACATTGAACATTTGTTTTTCAAAGCTAGGAGAAAGAGGGCGAGGAACGACTTCAGTTGAACTCGGTCGCTGTTTTCACATTTGAGAATTGCTCTGAATTTGTTCCTCGCCCTCTTTCTCCTACTTTCAACGAAAAATTGTTTTAGATGGCTTTACTTTAAGAAAATACATCAAATTGGCTACAAAATAAGCTATTAGGCAAGTTTTTTGGCTGAGTAGAAAATTTTTTATAGCCATTTTAGGGCATTTTTGAACCTAAACTTTGGGGGCTCAAAAAAAATTTTCTACTGAACCAAATGAGCTAATTTCAAAAATTTATTATAAAATATATGTATTATGAACATTTTTTATGTGGGTGACTTTTTGATTGGATGCCCGGAAATACCCTCATTCGTTAGCGGCTGAATTTCGTAAACGGCTACGACATATATATCTATATGCCTCTTGAATCTAGATCGAATTTTAACTTACAACAATTCCCTTACTAGAGAAATGCTCATACTACACGGTGGTTGACAATTAGAGTGCCTTCCCTGGTATCATAATTGTGGATGACCGTGTCACACACAGCGACAACGCCGTCCACCAAATGACGCCGCCAATCGGGGTCTCTTCATCGCGTTACACCGGTTAAAGGGTCAAGTTTTTTTTGAGTCAAAAATTTCCTTGCGAGAAAGCAAACTTTTTTTTTCGTCCAATTTCAAATTTTTCATTCCACATTTCCCTTTGAAATTTCTCTTTTCCTTAGCATTTATTTTTAATTATTTAGGAAATCTCAACAACAAGCGAAAATGAGCGAAACGGACCTCTTGAGCGGCAGCGATGAACAAAGTTTGTTTTTCGAGTTTTTCTTTTTCCTTTCATCACACGTTTACTTCTGAGCCTTAAGACTAGCCTTAAGACTCTGAGCTTTTTCTATTAAGTTGTTAGCCTGTTTAAATCATTTTTGTTTAAAATACGATAAAATTATGGCAGGCGAAAGGAAATTTGAAGCATGAAACCTAAAACCAACAAAGGGATTCATCACTGAAATTCGGAATCAAGTGCGATTCCAGCCAAGCTAAATTTTTTTAAACTTCCGACACTTAGGTTGGGGCACTAGTCTAAATGGGGGCAGCACTTTTTTTTCCTTCAAAATCACCTTTTCTGGGGTATTTTTATGTGTAGATTCTGAAAAACACAACGAAAACTTGGGAAAAGGCGTTTTAAGCCGAGTTTTGGGGCTCCAAAGTGCACCAACTCCAACTTCTATAGTGTACTTCACTATATGAAGCCCAAGCTATCGACTATTGGCACTTAGCACTTTTTCAAGGTCAAAACTAAAGCCGAAACTAAAGCCAAAACCATTTTTTAACCACTAAATATTCATTTTCTAACTTAAATTCACTGGTAGAGGCAAAAGAAAGAATTCAAAAAGATTTTGAACGATTTTGACTCATGTCCATGGTTGAAAATTGGAAAATTGTTTTAAATTTTGCTCCAATTTGATCAGAAACGTAATCAGTAGGTTAAATTATGCCAGAAGAAGTGTTTTTGGCTTTAAAAAAATGTTTTAAGAGACCATTTTTAGACCTCTTCCCTATGCGTATCCCTCTCATCACGCCGTATGAGCGCGCAATTTGAAGCCCCGGAACTTGGCTTAAACGTCTTTTCCCAAGTTCTCGTTGTGTTTTTCGGAATCTACGCACAAAATACTCCAGAAAAAGTGGTTTTAAAGAAAAAAAAAGTCCTCCCCTAAACCTAGTTTGGCTTGAGGTCAGATTTTAAGCAAACAGTGTGCACTAGTCTAACAGTAATGTTAGAAAGTGCGTGGGGAAGGCCAACCAGTCTAGAAACAGGGTTGCTGTTTCTAACAATAAGCCCGACTGCGCTTGACTTATAGATCTTAATAGTAAGGCCCGACTGCAGTTGGTTTACAGATCCTAGGATCCGGTTGGACTTGACTTTCGGCTTGGCTTACAGCCTCTAAAACACGGAAACATCCTAGGCCTCAGGGACCTATAAACAAGGCTGCAGGAACAACACTGATTATGATTTCAAGACAATTTTATTTTTACTTAATTTGAGTGCCCGTCAATGAGTCGATCCTCGACGAGGAGCTTGCCAAGATCGGCCCCTCCACCTCGAAGCGGATGAAATTGGTAAACAATTTATCTTTTCTGCAAAATAGGTAGCATAATTTAAGTTCTTAATTTGCTCAACTTTTTAGAAAACACTTTACAAAACGCTTTTAGGACGGCGGTAAATGTTCATAAACGAGGCAAAACCTAGGGTTTTTATGTTTTCAAAAGAATAGATATATCAAAAGTTAGTTGGGATTGAGATTTTACACCGATTTAGGCAAATTTTATCAAAAAATGTTTGAAAACATTAGAAATCCAAGAAAAGTCACAAATTGGCACTTTCTACATTCTAACATGCACTAAATGCCAAAAGTACGGCATTCTGCCGATTAGCTGAATATCTTTCAAGTAAAAGCGCATATATAAACTTTTCTCGCCAACATTTCGCCACTTTCATCATTTCATTTTTCTAGCTTTTGGGGAGTGGGACAAATGCGATCTTTTTTTGCACACCCCGACGACATTTGCGCACCTTTTTTCCGCACTTAGCCCATTAGAGCACCTTTTTCGCGTCTTAAAAAAGGCTCTAAAAGCTAATATTAACCAATTACCAATTTCTATTCCAAATGTTGTTTTTCTAGGTAATTTGAGGGTGTCGAATTCAAATTTTGACATAACAGAGCGTGTGGAACCAATTTGAAAGACAAAACGGCTAGATCAAATTACATTTTTCATTTTTTTTCGTTGTATAACTCCGTCCGTTCGCTTCCACACGCTCTGTTATGTCGCTCAAAATTTGAATTCGACACCCTCAAATTACCTAGAAAAACAACTTTTGGAATAGAAATTGGTTAATATTAGCTGTTAGAGCTTT